AATTGATGTCTAATGGGTATTCTATAATTATCAAAAGGCGGTAAGCTGCTTTTGTTTAGACTATCGACGGTACAAATAGCGTTCGGAAATCCAGACCAGTAAATATTAGAAACCGATGTAATTGGTGTTTGATAACTTGAGGCCGAGAGAATGGTATTGAATGGCTCGCATATGATTTTCATTATTAACACAAACGATTAGGGATGTACAATCCTTTTACTAATATCGATATAACGCCTGTAAATATTTGTGCCAGAAAGTATCGATTCAATAACAATTCAACGAACAATTCAATAAAATCGTGAAATATTGTGGAAATCGATATAGTATTATTTATAAATTTATAATTGAAAAGAATCAGTGTAAAAACACTATACAAGGTGAGTCTTAAATAAGTGCAAATATTTTAGGGGTGGTATATTTCGACCCCAGGAACACGTCTATGAGCTTCTTTTTCGCAAAAATAAAATTTGAAAATTTGGGATTTTTTTGAAAAAAAAATCTTGGAAATTTTTGCAGGTTTTACATACAAAGCATAATTTGATAATATGACAACATAGATTAAATTTAGAAAGAAAACCCAGAAAAGATCCAGTGATTCTCAAAATTTAAGCAAAAAATATTTTCTGTTTAAATTTTCAAAGTAATTCTAACTCGGTTATTTTGAACTTATTTGAAGAACGGTAAAGAGAAATATATGTTTATTTTCTTGAGATCTACTAGCCCTGAAAATATTTGCACTTATTTGCTAAGATTCACCTTGTATAACAATATATTTTATCACTCCTCAGATATTAACAGAAGAATAAAATTGACAATGAAACATTTAGGTTAGAATTCCAAAGATTAGATCTAGTCAGTGGGTTATGATAAAATAAGAAGAAGAAACCATAATTCATAAAGGAACTTTAAGTAGGTAGTACAACAAAAGTGATTTATGTTTGCAATGATAAAGAGGGACCACAAGAAAGAATAGCGTGGATAACACAGAAGTACCTACAGAAATCACAGATAACAGATCAAAATACAACATGAAATTGACAATGGGCAAGACATCTACCGAAGATGCATTATTCAATGGTATTCGAGAGAAGTTAAATGATCATGACGACGGGGAAAATCTGGGATTTATTAGAAAATAGAAAACATATGGCATATAGCATAAAATAGCATTAATCAACAAGGAGCACATGGACAAATTAACGAATAATATTCAAGCATGGTATTTGTCACAGTAATTTATTCTAGAATAAAGTTATAATCGATACTATTTAAACTTTTAGTTACGTAATCGAGGGCGCGATTTTTAAATTCATTGTTACCAACCATGGAGATATTCGGCGCTGTGCCGGCGCCGGGCTGACTAACTGCAATTTAAATTTCTCGCTGGAGATTCAGGTGGCAGCTCTGCTAAATGTCAAGTTGTCACATTTATTTATTTCCTGATATTGTCATTCGTTTTTTTTGGTTTAAATGAATTGTGATATTTTAAGCTTAAAATATTTACTAGCAGACCTTGCAGTCGAACATTGTTCTTTTTAGAACCCCTTTTAGTGCGAAGTAGGGCACAAGATAGCTTTATAGCCGGTGTAAAAAACTCGCAACTTTATAAAAAAAATTGAACAAGAAAGAGGTAGTAATGGCCCTTTATGTCCCTTAAGTGTTGTTAAGGAGGTGAGTTTTGTTGATGTAAATAATAACCTAACCTAACCTAACCAATTATAAATATATTTATAATTAATTTTAATTGCGACATGACAAATGTGCGGTTCTTTCTAATATAATGATGCAATGATAATACATTGAGAAAGCTATATGGAGGATTCAGTCTCCAAGTTCTGAGGTTTTTTGAAAATGATAGGACTAGAACATGTAACCTAAAGCAGAAGAAGACCAAAATAGACTTGAAAAAGTTACAGTGCAACAAAGCGTCAAAAATACATTCTAATCTAATAGTAATAAAAAAATTGTCTGTATAAAATATTGAGTATCGAATATAAAATTATCGATACTCGGGGAAAATCGATGATTTGGACATTCCTATAAACGACTGGAAATTGTGTGGATGGTATATTTCATTCGGATAATCTCTGATGGGTTGTAATATGATTTTGTTAGAATATGTTAAATCTTTGTTGAATACATATATGTATAGTGTTGTGGTTTGAGCTATTTATGTATTTTAAGTAGAGTTGGATATTTATTTATCCATTTATTAATATAAATCTCTGTACTATATAATTTAATATAATTTGAATTTAGTCTCCTAAAATTTCAATGCAAATTCATATATTAGAGTATCACTAGCCAGTAGTCCCCACACCCTGTGGCAGTTGGACATATACATGACCACAAACATTAGAGAGTGCCAGGTATGATGGACAGGGTAGTCCCATCCGGCATCGTTATATGTCTTGGTGCAATTCCCTGGCCACGATAACACGGCCAGAGACAAGAGAGTGAGATGCTCCTTTAGATTCAGCCAAAGTGCCAGAGGGGTAACTCCTAGCACCTGACTAGGAGCTTCCCGATCAACGACAAGGTCTCGCATCTCCTAGAGAAAGTTTGAAAAGGTATTTTTATAATACATCAAAATGGAAAATTCTATTTTTTCCTTTTATTAAATTCAAAAATAAAGATAATTTTGTTTCTTTTTCTTAGGCCGCCGTCTTGCTTCAGAGGTTGGCGATCCAACTGGCTATGATGGTGTGTGAAACCGCATCTCTGCAAATTTCAATCCATGTTTTTCCGAACCAACGACGCAGATCCTTAAGCTAGGAGTTTTGCCTTCGATGACCAGTCTGAGCACCTCGTATCGATCACCCCTCATGATGTGACCGATGTACTGTAACTTCCTTTCCTTCACTGTTGGTAGGAGGTCTTTATCTTTGCCCATCCGCCTGAGTACCCCCTCATTTGTCACTCTATCCATCCAGGATATACGTAGCATACGACGATACAAGTACATCTCAAAAGCGTTAATGCGGTTTTCCAATGTCTGATTGAGTGTCCAACTCTCAGAGCCGTATAGAAATACTGGAAAGATGTAGCAACGCAGCATATGTATTGTATGCGCAGTTCGAGGCTTAGATCTCGGCTAGAGAAGAGGGTTTTATAGAAGTAAAAATACGTCTGTTCAATCTTCGCTAAAATTTCAGTTTTGGGGTCGCAAGCGTCGTTAACGAGGGCTCCTAGATATTTTATGGACCATACTTGTTCTACCACCTGGTTGTTAATTCTGAGGACAGCTTTTTCCGGTGTTTTGGAAAATACAACAAGTTTAGTTAACATTGATGTGTAATCGGTACTGCATGCTATGTTCAACGATGTAGTCCATCATGTTCTGAAGGTGTAGAATGTTGCAAGCCTGTACGACCGTATATCATTTGCGAAGCGAATATTGTCGATCAGGGTACTATTGATTTTGATACCATCCTCAACGCTCTTTATTGCCTTACGTAATACTGCCTCGGAGTAGATTTATTGTGTGTTCCTCTATTAAAAAGGAGTGGGAATAATACACACCCCTGCCTGACGCCCTTTCTAATTGCTACTTCATCAGATGTTCCACCATCCGCCCTGATCTCTGCAGTCTGGTTCCAGTATAACTGGGTGATAATGCGCAGGTCCCCCTCATCTACACCAGTGGTTCTAACAATCTCGCAAGTTTTTGGTGCGACACACAGTCAAAGACCTTTTTATAATCTATAAAGCAGGCATATATATAGACGTTCATGTCCCTCAAATTTTGTTTAAAGTTGTCTATTTCCAAATATTATAGTTTCTAAAATTGGTACTTACTTGAATGTTGAAAATAAATTATTATAAATTAATTTAAAAATGGAATATACACTTGTAGACGTACTAAATTTTATGTTTATTTATCGATAAAGCTTTTCGCATAATATGTTGTTTTTTAAATATATGTTTACTATCTACTATTATTATAAACATATTGCATCTCGAAAATTTTAGGAAAAAAAAAATTAAATCTAAAGTCAATATATAGCCTAAAATCTAAACTTAAATCCGCGAAATCTGTTTTTTGAGGAATTTTCAAAATTCCAAGGCTGGCTGTTACATCAATAGCAGCCGATAAACTAAATCAATATCGGCGATAAATCATCTCTTTAATTCTAAACACAAATACACTTTATAAACTGTTCACACTTTAGGGAGGTGTTAAATGCCTGGAAACGGAACGAGTATTTATTTTATGAATATCAGACACTATTTTAATACCAGAATATTTTTACCGACAACGATTCGGTTATGTTTCTAATAAAAAGGTGACAGTTTACCGGAGATTTTCTAATTTATTGCTTAATATCGGGATTGATTTGTGTGTACCTACATCAAAGGAAAACATGTTATTCATGTCGTGATTCTTTTCGTTCTACTGAATGAGCTTAAGAGATAAGAATATTAGAATTTGAGTCATTATTATTTTACATATTTCTATACATATAAATAACAAAATAACACAACATATCTGTGGTTTCGAAATATAATTTTTTAAGATCATAAATATGGTTTATAAGTTAGTAAAATTCAAATACTTGCTTTAAAATATTTGAGGGGCTGAGTTCCAAAACTAGTTTTATCCAAATTCGTTAATTTTCAATAATCGCAAAAAACGAACAGCAACTTAATTAGTCAATATTTATCAACAATACTTTGTCATTTGCTAATTTAAGCATTACTTAGATATTTTACAAAAGGAAAAATAAATTTATGCATAATTGCACTTTTTACTAAAAAAATAAAATTGGATAAGAACATTTTTGTTGCAAATTAATGAATTAGGGCAGTTATGGAACAAAAAAGACGGGATAAAGAGAGTTTTGGAAATAAGATATATACAGGATCAACTACTTTTTTAATAATAAAGTGGGTTAATTAATGTATGTTACTAAATGTTAACTAAATGTACATGTTTATTGAACATACTATTTATTGAAAGAAACGTGTTATTAACAAATTATTAGACAGTATCTTAAACAAATTAAAGTTGATTAAATCATACGGTCAATTCATCACTTAATTCTGTTGGAATATCCTGAATTTCTTCCATTTCTTCTTGAATCTCGTCTTTGTCTGGTCTGGATAGAAGGTTCTTGTAGAAGTCCAATTCACTAAGCTCCATCCAATTTGGTCCAAAATGCTGTTTGAGAAGTTTATTGACATCTTCTAGTTTCTCCTTTTTTACCGGGACCTTCAGTGGAAGCAATTCAGGCTTAAAATGGAAATTTTTTCCTTTTTTGAGGAATGGTTTAAAGACACCTAAATCACTTTTGTATGTTGTTTCCCCTTTAAGTAAAATAGTGTTTTTATCTTTTATCAATTTTAATCTTTTTGCTGGCGCAAACTGGAAATGTAACTGACCAGGTGCTTTAATATTTTCAGCTACACATGTTTTAAAATCAAAAACAGGCACGTCTTTACCAAGTATTTTTACTTTTCCGTATTTAGAAAATATGTTTATATACTCCTGGGGATCAATTATTATGGTATCCTTCCTTTTAAGGTCTTTTTCTAATCTTTTTTGGTAGACCTTTTGATTTTCTCCTAAAAATATAAAAGTAAACCAATCAAGACCAAATTTTCTAATAGTAATAGCCGTTAAAGTAATGTTAAGATTTCACAAAATAATAATACTCTGGAACAAAATAGTCTTTTCTCTGGTTATGAGGATTCGATCTGGTCTATTTCTTATCAATTATTATTAATTTCATGATTGTATCTCTTTAAAAATGAATTTAACACTAATAAATATGCCGGTTCTAATACATTCGATATAATACTCATCATTAATCAGTTACTATTATAAAAATTTAGGTATGAATGTTATATTAAAAAGGCCTCTAATTATCTTAGACACATTAACTTATACATACCTCTCAACCTTGGCTTTTTCTTTACTCCAGGAACTTTTATTTCTATTTTTCCGCCTGCCCTTTCCTTCATGTAACACGACCGTTTCATTGTCCATTTTGCTTAAAAACTATTGAAAAATATATCGTTTAACACTAAACGTTTATAAAATATATCGTGCTTTGCCTGAAATTGCATCAATGACTAAAGAAAGCACTATTAAAATGAAGATAATAGGGCAAATCGTCACATGCATGATATGACAAGTTTTGCTACCAATATAGGCGTGGATAAGATTAGTTTTGGAACAAATGCACGACTTTAACATGTAAATTATACAGGATAGAATGAGTTATGCCACAAAAATGATGCTGAATATTGTGCAGGGCTGCCAATACTAGACTATAGATACTTTTACTCAAAATTACCAAAAATGGATAAGACGAGTTTTGATACTCAACCCCTCATTTAATTTGTCGGCGGATATTTTTGAAAAACTTTTACCGAGTTTGAAGGGACCTGTTTAATTAAAATAAATATTCGAAAAGTGTTTAATTAACAATATTTTTGGTAGGTATGTGATTTTCAAGCCATTCTTGAGGGGACATCGATATTATCATCACACTAAGCTTTATTTCATTATTTTTCAGGTTATTTCGATCTTAGAGTATATACCCTGCTGGTCATCAAATTTACGTGGTCTGGATTTTAATGCATGTGACAGAGAATAATATAAATGACCGGTTGACAGACACAGAGACAAAATCAAAAGCGGGATACAGTGTTGCCGGTTTTTTTACGTTTGTAGGAAAATGCGTGTAGGAAAATATAAGCTACTTTAAAAACTTTCATGTATACTCCTGAAATGATGATAATATACCTAAACTAAATATAATCTATTACAACTGTACTAAAATGAGTAACTAATAATGAAAAATAAAGTTCCAATCCTAGATGCAACATTTTTCGTAAACGCCTACTTGTGCGGTTTGAAATTTTCATCCGCAAAATCCGGCAATACCGCATAGAAGAAAAGTGTCAACCCTATTTTTATCTCTTTTTAATACATTTGATTTTCCATTAAGCTGTCTACATCACTGTCTTACACGTTAAAATCCAGACCGCACAGTTTCGATGACCAAATCGGTATGTAGGTACTCATCTACTAATTTGCAATGTTTACCATTTTGTTGTATAGGGTTTTCAGAGATATTTAGTGCTGTATCTGCAGACTTGGTTGTTGGAGATAGCAAAAAACTTAAATTTAGGAGTTGTAAAGTTTCATGATGTGAACCACTAGAAAGTGAAATAAAAATAAACAAAGGCAAAGAGAAATTTAAAAAAATATATAATTTTTGTTTAAGGAAACACTCTGTATATTTTAAGTTTTATGGAAGATACTTTTTTTTTCTTGTGGATAGAAAGGACACACTGTATGTCAGATACATCACCCACTCTGTATATTTTCAATGTTGTAACGTGGATTTCCTGGCAAAAATTCGAGTACGCGACCTTAATAAATCACTTGCACGCGATAGTTGAGAACCAGTTGAATAGTTTATCTCGTATGTGTGTAGTAGTGTGGTAAACGTAATCGGTCAATGATTTATACGGTGCATAAATTTTATTTGTATCTTCTGGTGGCTAGCAGCTTTATTTCGTGGCGAATATTAACAGAGAGGCAAACCCTAATGAACCTAAATTTAAGACGGGATAAATAAACTTAATGAGCAAATCGTCTTTATAAATCAATCGGGTTCATTATACAGCAAATCTTAAATATATGTATCATTAATTGTAATATTTCGGATCGAAAAAAAGTGACCCTTTGCTTTAAAGATACGATGTATATTATTTTATATTTATCTAATAAAATATAAATTAATAGACTAGGTAAATATGGAAAATACAACTAAATAATAATACAAAATCAGAAATACAAATACATGAACAAATAACGTCAATTTTTTATTTATTTATAATTAATATTTACAATTTATAAATATATTAAATATTTACAAGGGGCCCCTAATATAAGATCGAAGGAAAACAAAGTTGCACAATTTGATACTGATTAAAATGACACATTAACAATCCCAATACTTTTTTGTCTTTGGGCTGTTCTTTTTAATTTTCTCCTTCTAAATACGGCCCTGGCCTTTTACTAAACATTTTAGAAACTTCTATGGTCCCAAAACCAGTGATGTATCGCACTAATTCGAATAATTCATATTAATGGCATTTTCAAAAAGAACTCATATGTGTTAGAGAATATAATTAGACTCTATAAAATATTATACAATGTACAGGCACAAGTACAAGTACAGTCAGGATTCAAAAGTGGCTTCAGCACTATTAATCACATACATACGGTCACAGATATAATAAGTCTATACCTAAGCTATCATAAAAAAAGCACTGGATTCGACATATTCCACTAGACCAGTAAGATACTATACCAATACAAACCTTACCGGGTGTTTCTTACAAGTGGCTCACCCCTATAACTTTTTTATTTTTTTTTCAGATAAAAAAACGTGATTTGGTATGTTAGTATATAACATTGTCACATACATTAGGATTGAGCGATGTATTCAATTGTTTTCGGTCACTTCCTGTTTTACCGGAAATAAGTACTTACAACTTTTGATTTTTAAATGACACCCTTAACAAATACTATAACTCCACAGAGTCTAATAAAAGAAAATATTTGCTAAAGTTAACACAAATTGATTAAAAAATGTCTATACCTATGTGGCGGACTCATCTCTCCAAAAAAATCCTTTATGGATTTTTCGCCACTGCATTGCAAGAAAATCTGCAAAATAAAATAGTTATTTCTTGTAAACACTTCTGGCGTTAAACCTAAACGGACACTGCTTGTCAGAAGTTATATTTACAGTTATACAAATTTGCCTAACAAAGAAAAAAATGCTTAACGTTTCGGAAAGTTTATCTCTTTCCGTCGTCGGAAGCAAAAAAAATACAAAGAATAAAGAAAAAAACTATTTAAAATATTTAAATTCAACTATTCGAGAACACTTTACTTTATTAATACAGATACGTCTACAAGAAACCGTTGACGTTCTGTTAAAATAACATTATATTAAGTTAAACTTCAAAATTAACAATTACTTAATAAGGTAAAACCAAAAAGCCCCAAATTTCTGTATGATTATTTATAAATTTTACGTATGTTTTACAAATTGATTATCGAGAACACATATATTTTATCTATCATAATGTTCTTGGTTACAACAACCAAAATGGACAAAAAAAAAACCTGCATATATCTGTATTGAATGGTCGTTGAAAGACTATTAACTAACCCCTATCCTCTACGGTTGTCTTCAGATTCCCCGCGCACTAGTTTGCATATAAGTATTTTAAAAATCAAAAATGTATGTAGTACATATATCTTAAAACTGAATATCTTGAAACTGAATAACTAACTTCTAATTATTTCATGAAAATAGAAGATAATTTTCAGAAAACAAGTATTGTAAAAACGCACAGCAAACGCAGTAATGAGTTCTATTATTATATTGAATAACCTCAGTTCATTTAAAGCTAATTAATCATTGTTGACATCTATTTAATCAGATACATAATTAATTTTTTTGTTCTTGGCGTCTGCCCGTGAAAAAAATTCCATATTTTTAATTAATGGCTAACAAATATTTACTATTTTTTTTAAATATATTTATACTTTCCTGTGATATAAATTTTAATTTGAAATTTTTAAATTTATCTTTAACCAGCTACTTCATTTATTTTAATAAAAATACCTAAGAGTTCCTCTCCAAAAAACGAACTCTGGATTTAGGGAATAATACATAGTATTCTTATTTATAATAATAATAACATAAAATCTAAAAAAAAACAGCGTCAAATGACCATGGATGATAATTTTCGCGGGATCAAACTCTAAATGTCATTTACTTGGCTCGTAAACTTCTTTATTTTTTAATGACGTTTACATCCAGTCGGCCAAGAAGGTTGTATTTTATTTTTATATTGAGTCAAAATTACTTTTAAATAGTGTAGTTTAAAATTCGAGAGAAATTTTTAGATTTGTGTGTCTGGAAACTTTTTATCTTTTATTAATATTTCTATAATTAGTGTTAATTTTTGATAAGTTTTATGGCAATTTTTAGTAAATGACGTTTAGAGATTGACCTCGCCAAAATTATCAACGATTGCCATTTCTTAGCTGTTTTTGACGCCGTTTTTTTCGATCATACGTCGGTATTATGTTCAAATTTCATTTGATAAATGCCCGGCTGTCTTTAGTAGTTCTGGTTGGTCTATAGGAAACTAAATATATCAAATGAATATTACAGAAATTTAATTATTGTTATCCGTGTTCTGAAAAGAACGAAATAATCACGCAATATAGTGTAGATCTAGTACAGATTCTTGGAAAAAAGCTTTTATAATATATTTTTCCATTGTGATTTTTGACCTACATCAATAATTATCAAAATATACCTGTTTATCTTCAAACCCCGATATTTCAGCTTCAGACAAACTAAAGAGACTGGATTAAAAATGATTTATGGAAGATTTAGTGGCAGAACTGCTATCCAAATGAAGCATTTCGCTGGCTATTACCGAAATACTTAATTATTATAAATTTGAATGAAAATACCCGAATTTATTGACAGGCTTATGACCTGCTAACGATTTTTTATGGGATAATCCTCTGAAATGTTTGGACGGAAAAAAGAATAACGCTTAATCCCGAAACTAGATCTAGGAAATCTTTATAGAAGGTGGTCTTGCGTAGGTGTATTTATTTTAGGAGATTAAAGACAAACAGAATATGCTTATTCTACGCTCTTAAATGAAATAAGAAGTGATTGTTAAGATTATTAATCGATTTCTAGTCTGTTTTATGTTTTAAATCCAGTTTTATGGATATTTTATTTAATCGTTAAGAATTATAATACTTTAAGTCGTTTTTAACTGAATTCAGTTAAGTTCAGTCATAACAATGCGTTTATACCGGGTGTTTTTCAAAAGTAGCTCACCTTTATATCTTTTTTATTTTTCAGACAAAAATACGAAAGATTTAATATGTTAATATATCACATAAATTAGGATTGATTGACGTATTCAATTATTTTCGGTCACTTCCTGTTTCACCTGACTATAACTATTGATTTTTTAATAGCATCCTCGGTATTCTAGGAAATTATTTGACAGAAAGTGACATTTATAGATAGAATGACATATCACGTGTTAACTTTTGACATTTTAATTTTTAATCTAGAGTGCAATGGCTGTGTTCATAACGAAAATTTGACTCCAAATAACCAAGTATATGGTACTAAATTATTCCTTAAAAAATGCTATTTGAAATATGGTAATAAGTCACTTTTGTTCCATTTGAAAAGTTGAGTTACAATTAAAAATTTCCACTGCAGCTTGCTTGATATCAACAGCCATGCTTAGATAAAGAAATATAGTGACATATACATTGTAGTCTGGTTATTGAGATACATTGGTGTTTCTGCATTTAGTTTGTAATGAACAACGAAATGTCAATATAAAATAATAATTTTATATTGACATTTCGTTGAAGCAATTTTTACAGTTGTATTACTAGTCTGTATCTGCTGTCATGACATCCCGTTTCTTGGTAAATTTAATATTTAATTAAACTAAATTTGAATACACTTCTTCAATATTTATAACATTTCTGTTTTTTTTCAGAAATATGAAGCAATCGAATAAACACCTGTACACGTGCATTTTATTCGTCCTTATAGCACAAATAGCAACAGTATATGGATCAGGAATGGGTAAGTCCTTCGATATGTTATTATTTATAACATTGTTAATTACACTCTCAGGTGTGAAGAATGTTTACACATTGCAAGCACTCACTTACTGTGATTATTTATAGCGGAATTAATTTCCAATGCATAACAATCATAAAGTAAATTAACCAGATATTATTTTTCTATACGAGGGTGGATCTAAGATTATTTTGTATCCGTATACAAAACAACTATGTTTTTATTTTCCGTTTGTCCGCTCTATAGTTTTTTTAAAAAATGCTATTGATCGGACATGGAGTTATAAGAATAGGATAAAGAGCTAAAAAATAATGGATGGAAATGATAGAAAAATAAGCAACGAAGTTATTATGTATATAAAATGTATATTCAAATAATGAGACTGAAGTGATATTAAAGTTAAGTAAAGTGAGCTAAATTATGATCTACTGTTAAATTTTGCTTTATTCCTTGTTATTTGATAATCTTATCTAAACGAAACATGTTGTTTCTTGAATCTTGATGTCGCCGTTCCGTTAACTTTCGGGAATACGCATTACTATTATTATTTAGCATTTTCACCAGTATGATTAATACTCTTAATTAATCCAATACTTTTATATGATGTAGATGTAGATTGTGGAAATAAAAACTAGAATAGAACAAGCGAGAAATGCATTTTTAAAAATGAAGAACGTCTTCCAGAACCCCAGATTGGACCTTGAGTTGAGAACTAGGCCCGTTAAGTGTTATGTTTGGTCAATTCTATTATACGGAGCAGAAACATGGATACTGAAAGTTCAAGAGATGAATCGCCTCGAATCGTTCGAAACATGGATATATCGAAGAATGCTTAAAATTCCATGGACAGCCCATATAACAAATACCGAAGTCTACAACAGAAAGGCAGAGAAAGAGAATTGCTTAATATAATAAAAATAAGAAAGACATCATACTTAGGGCATATATTGAGAAATGAAAAATACCACGTCTTACAATTGATAGTTAAGGGTAAGATTGAAGGAAAGAGAGGTCTCGACAGGAAGAAACTATCTTGGTTTGAAACATCAGAAACTGGACTCACCTAACTTTTGAAGAACTAATAAGGAAAGCCGAGAATCGTGAAGATTTTGCCAATGTGGTCGCCAACCTCCACGAAAGAGACGGCACGTAAAGAAGAAGATGTAGATTATATGGGAGGAAGTTAGTCACCGCGACCTTATAGTAGCTTAGTACCTTATATACCTCTTTCGTGAGTTATATCTCATCATACAGTCTCAGGGCTTTGACAAAAGCCAGTATCTGGGATGGTTTTACAGAGGTTAGTTCTCCTTGATATCAGTGGTACGAAAGCTTATTGGTACGAATGGTTGTCATCTTGGCGTACTATGTGTACAGTGATGAGGTGTTCTGGTATTTTTCCATTTTCCGCCTAGAATGTGCACGCGCCGTTGTTTCTTAGCTTCAGTCAACTGATTGAAGCTGTGTGTTCATTGTGGTGACAGTATCCTATTAAAAACCCCGTGACAATCCGAAGATTGTGCTTACTTAAATCAAGGAAAATCTTTATTTTTTCGGTCGGATGGAGTTTTCCAGGTTCTTGAGTTCCGCTTTAAGTTGGTTTCCATTTGGGAAGCAGAACGGTTTTAGTGCAGTTAGTGTTCGCTTCTTTCCTAGTTAGATCATTTGCTTTTTCACTACTTTCTATCCCTTGGCACTCAGAGTAGGAGGACTTTATTTTCTTTGTTTAATTTTCTCTAAACATTCTTTGACCAACTTCGAATTGACGGTTACTGAGTTGGTTGATTTTATGGTTGCTGGACTATCAGATATGATGGCTATTTCTTGTTTTCGATAGTTCCTATCTCAGATAAGTTGTAGGCATCTTTCGATAGCATCGTTTCCTGTCTGAAGGATGCTGGGGTAGGTGTCCATAAGTTCGGAGTTTTTAGTTTTCGACCCAAATACTCCTCTCTTTGGTCCTGTTTTGGTCTTGGAAGTATCAGTATACCACCTTAGGGTATGTTTTTTTAAACATTGGCATATTATTGTTTTTATATATAGACTAGTGATAAGCTGTTAAATAGCCCAAGATATTGATACGGCTTAGAATTAAAAACAAATCTATTTTAATGACTTCGATTAATGTCATATATTATTTGTTGATTCAATATTTGATGGAACTAAAGATTCAATTTTCTATAACGTCCAAGTGGAATATGTTATTACTGCTATATTCGTTTTGATCGTATGTGATATAAGGAATCACTTCCGTAATATTCTGATTAACAAGTGACGATGAATTAAAAGTAATGTTAGGTACTTTTTTATAATTATGTATAAGAATAATTTCAAATTTGGATACAATTGAAAGATTCAGTTTATTCCTGACATTAATAATTGTGTATCTCTATGTGATATAATAATAGGTGTAAATATTAAATATATTATTAAGTTAATGTCAAAGATAGTGCTTGTGCAAATTGCCAAATGATATAATATTTCAATTCATATCTTATTTCCCTCGTATGTTCCTTCTAGATTGTATTGTGATTGGTTGTTTATGGTATGTGGACAGAGTATGGTACTATTTTATTTATTAATTTTCTAGTGATTTAATGATTCGTTTTATTGTGTGTTAGTCAAAATCTACACGAGAAATAAATTGATTATTTGCTTTTTTCGTAAACATGTCTCTTGACTTTTGTGCAGCATAGAACTTTTATGTTAATCAAGGTTGTTTGTTTAATATATCACCTTTTATTTTATCATAGGTTATTATTGGAATTCTTAACTAAATTTATTTTATTTATTTCTTATGTTCTGTATCGTTTCGTTAATATATTTTTAATTAAATTGTTTGATAGAATGAATATTTACATTTCAATTTAAATTTCTCTTAATTGACTAGGATATGGATCAATATTCATGGCGGAGACAAATTTATGGGTTGCGATGAAAAAATTATATTGGGAAAAATGATTTTAATTGGCAACCAATTATAATTCAATTTTGAGGATATAAACACCATATTTATCAGGTTATTAATTAACTATATATTTTTTTCATTTCTACAAAAAACTCTCTTTCATATTTTACACATATGGTATTTTTTTATGAAAGAATCCTATCTAGTGGTATACCAGGAGTATCAATTTACAGTTTTTATTTTTTTAAAGCTTATAACTTGATGCGTTCATGCACGAACTTCGTATAAGAAAACTTATATGGTACTATCGAAATACATCACCAACACATTAATAGTAGGATGCAATGCATCTGTTGATCAATTTGCTTTTTTAATGGAAATACACCCTGGTTAGAGTATCCGGCTTAAATATCTTTTGTTCTTTTCGTTTTTCTCAGCAATCTTCTGCCTGTAGTTAAACAAAATCATTATAGTTATTAATGATACAAGTTCGATACGAACATCATAATGAAACGCGTGTAACGTTAAGTTACACACGTTTAGTTACACAAGTTTCATTAAAAAGTTCGTATCGAACGTGTATCATTCAAAATTTAATCTACGACGCGACACGAGGTACGATCCAAAGAGATTTGATTTAATTTAAAATATCAGAGATATCCTCATAAAAATTAAAATTAATATGGGTGATTCTGATTCTGAAAGTGTCCCTTCGGATATTAAAGGCATTGCGCAAAACGTTGTCGATTCCCTACTTCCCAAGACAAACGTACGAGCAAGCCTATGTAAAACTTGAAGATTGGTGTAAATGGAAAGGAATCAAGAATAGTAGTAACGAAAAGGTTCTCCTTGCATATTTTGAACATCTTTCAAAACATATGAAGGCTTCATCACTTTGGGTATATTATTCCATGCTACGTTCAGTTATATCAGTGAAGAAAAATACAGATATTAGTAAGTACGTCCATTTAATTGCATTTTTAAAAAGAAAATCGGAGGATTTCGGTCAAAAAAATCGAGAATTTTAAGAAAAGATGACATAACTCGTTTTTAGAGTTTTTTTTGTTGGAAGCCGATGATAAAACTTATTTCCTGACAAAAGTTTCATTGATAGTGGGACTTGCGGGAGCCTGGAGGCGTATCGAGTTAACAAATCTGCAGCTGCAAAATGTTAAAGATGAAGGACAATGCATTCATGTCATTATTCCATTTACGAAAACAAACATATCACGAGATTTTTTTATAACGAAAGAAAATGTTGAAGGAATAAATATGGTGGAAATGCTTTGAAGATATATAGCTATGCGGCCAAGCAACACAGAGCATACTCGATTTTTTGTGGGGTACAGAAATGGAAAATGTATTAAGCAACCCGTTGGCATTATTAAAATAGCATTGTTCCTAAGTCTTCCAAATCCAAAACAATACAGTGGACATTGTTTCCGTAGATCGTCTGCGTCGTTGCATGCAGAGTCAGGAGTGGATTTATTAACTGTTAAAAGGCATGATGGTTGGCGCTCTAACACAGTGACAGAGAGCTATATAGAAAATTCCAAAGAAAATAGGAAAAAAGTGTCATGTAATATTTTGGGTAAAATTTCTGGCAATGATGGGTCTTCAACAAGTTCAAGCACTCAGGAAATAAATTTATTTCTAAAAATTCAACTCACCTGTCATCGTCTGGAATTAATTTAACCAATTGTACTGATATTATAATTAATGTTTACAATAAATAAACGTATTTAGGTACCTTTCTTTGCTTGTTTCTTATTTTAAAATTTGCGTGTTATTATGAATTATGAAGTGCTATTATGAAAGCCATAATGGACATCCAAATGACAATGTTAAATATGTCATAATGACATTGTTGTAGATTAAATATTACGACACACATTTTATGAATCCATATTATCATCATCACCATCTTCAGCTTACTCAACCATTTTTAATTATGGTGTAGCCTCCTTGGGTCCTATGTTGTCTATTGTTGGTTATACGGGCCCAAGTTATCCCTGCTAATTTCCTAATATAATGGTCCCATCTCAGGTTCCGTCTTCCTCTAGGTCTCTTAATTCCTCGTGGATACCATGTTTTA